TATAAACATTTTGTGCATTTTAAAACACTCATAGCATTATTTTACAAATATATAAACATTGGGTAAACCTGTGACAAAACTCGTTTCGGGGGACAAGGGATCATGGTTCTGCAAACTTCACATGGGATAAGGACACTCTGTGGCCACAAAAAGAAAAAGGTAGGAGATTTCCTAAAATTTGGTTGAGAGTTCTTTTCCCTGTGAGGTGGTGCGGACTACTGTTCTCTGTCCTCTTCGAATCAGTTGGTTGTGTCAGACCGCCTCACGCTGCTACATGCGTGAGACTATGTGAAGATAGTAGACTGGGTGCAGAAGCACTTCGTCTCCTTCAGAGTGTGAGATTGCCTCACGCTGCTATAGGTGTGAGTTTGTCATATGTGGAGCTATAGGCTGGGTGCAGGAAAGCACTGGCCAGTAGCGTGGGGAGACAGCCGGGCCCGGGTTGTGATGTGTTTTTTAGGCTGAATGCCTGGTGATAAAAGGTTCTGGGTAATTTTTGGGATAACAAGGGGAATGGCAGGCACGAGTGTGTCTGTCCATTGTTGAACTGGGGGTTTGGGCAATTTTTGTTTTATGAGCTCTGAGAGATACAGATTGGCTTGATGAGCAGGCGATAGAAAAAGAGGTCAATAAGGATAGGCTGAAAAGCCTATTCAGGGATCCCAATTGAACAAGCACGTCCCATATCTCCTGACCAATTGTAGAAGAAACACACAAATTGAAAAAAAATCACACAAATGGGAAAAAATTGAAGAAATCAAAACAGGAATTAAAATAGAAGACTGCTGACTGACTCCAGTGACTGACTTTGACTTCAAACACGTGTGAAAGGGTATACCATTGTGTGATGAAAAAGTGAAGTGTGTGGGTTGATTGGATGTTTGTGTGTGTCTGTTTTGTTCTGTGTCAACTAAGTTCTCTGGCAGTGTTCACAGTCAGACTCTGCACCTGTGTGTGTGTTATGCTAGTCAAAGATTGCTGTGTTTTCCTCACTTGTGTTTATGTGAATAGTGTGCTCATTGCGGTCATGTTATCAGTTGATACATAGAAGGTTAAAAACTCCTGGGAAAGAGTTTCTGTTCCCAGTACCATGGTGAACACTCCTGATATGAAGGTTTTAGCTTATGCTTAGATATGATGATGGTTTCTGTTGTGAACACACCTCTTATGCTACTTAACAAATTTTCTGTGTTAAAGCTGCTGAACAAATGTTTGTGAAAGTATAAAAGATACAAAAGGGGGAAAAAGCAATGAGGTACCACAAGTGCAAAACTTCTAAAACTTCAAATCTAAGAGTTGCTTCTATACATCTGCTGGTTTTGCCAAAATACTGTGTTTTTAAAATATTATTGAAGCTGTTAATATCAATACTGACTATTGCTATAGAACTGCAGTTGAGGCAAAAGCTTTATACTGTGTATTTTTTGGGAATTTTACAAAACTGCTGGTCAAGTTTTAATGTGTGTGCTCATTTGAATAATAAATTTTACAAAAAGCATGACCTGAAAAGGGAAGATTAGATACACATTGGTAGGGTGTAAATATACTGAACACTTAAATGATATCCAAAAACTTACAGAGAAATGGGAACATTGAATCAAGGGGTTTGAATTTTTATGACCTAGGGGAGGCACATCTGATGTGGCTGTGTGTGAGGATTTGGAGCAGCGAATCTAAGACCATAAACATAAAGATAAAAGTAAAACACGCAAAAACAAGAGATATGGAACTAAAAGTACCGGACATGTTCAACTCAGCACTTAGATTTTTGTCAGTTTTCTACTTTAGAGTCCAAATTTAGATTTTAAGTCATACTGGGACCTTTTTGAACCTGATTTCAACGTTCTTCTTGTGTATTTGCTCGTTAAAGGCATTACTTTTCTCTTTTTAAATCATGCTCTGATCTTTTGAACTAATAAATAGGAATAGAATAAGAACTAAAATTTTTCTATCTTAGGTTGCCTTTAAACTTATTATTTATTTATTATTATTATTAGTTTATCCCTTTTGAATTTCCAAATGATTTAAAATCATTGCTATTTTTTCTCCCATATGTTTTGAAAAGGAAGTTGACAGTTTTAGTGAAATTTTGATCCTGTTTGACCCTGAGGTTAGACCTAAATCCAGATTATGGCCCTTGCTGTGGTTGAGTTTGACACCCCTGGCCTAGATTATGTTCGCTTGGAAATGCACTGATAGTATGTTTTCAATCTTAATAAATGGCACACAGGCTGGCTATGTGCCGTGGAAAACCACACACCTTGTTGGGCTGATTGCCAGGCTACCACAAACTGAACAGGGGGCAGGGAGATGGATACGAGTTTTTGAGGATGAACTGTAAAGAAAATGTTGACTACACCAGACATGAAAGCTGTCTTGGCTAAACTGCTGGGAACTAAGACGATGGAGGAGTTTCTGCGCAAGGCAAAACAAGGTTGAATGACGAATCCCATGAGAGATGGGAGTGAGTTCAATGCATATTGTGATGTGATGTGGAGGGTGCTGCCAGATGAAGAGCGGAGACCGAAAGAACAGGAAAAGGACATTCAGCGGAAGTTGAAACAGCCACCTCTAAGGGGGACACTGCAAAAGAGACCCAGCGATGCAGACCGTGCAGACGCTAACTGCGGTAAAACCTGTGACAGTAACCTGTTTAATCACCTGTTGTGAATGTTTATCCTCAGACAGGACCCTGCTCCATAGAGAGGATATATCCCGGCAGGGGGAGAGAGTGGAATTCTGACGGACGTGTGACGGCTATAGACCTGCTGGGGATGTGATCATACCGGACATTTTTGACAACTGCCCAGACCAGGGACGTTTCTGGCTGGAGCTGTGGTGGGGGGCCCCAGCCCAGACAATGTGAAAGTGGTGGCTTACTACAGTGTGATTTTTGTGGATGATGGAAAAAGTTAATTGTTAGTTTTAAATTTTAACCCTGTTGACCTTATAGACCAAAGAGCCCTATGTAGAAGTAACATTCAAATTTGGTGCTCACCGCGAGGTGTGTAAGTAGACAGTTATGGTTTATAGGTTTAAAGTAAATATCGTGACATTAATATTGTAACATCCCTGTTCTGTTAGTTTAATACTGATAAATCTAAATGCAGCTGTGCTGAATCCGCATACACCCCTCGCAGATGTGCCACCTAATGTAAAAGTAATAGGAAGCTATCAAAGGGCAATAAGGCCACAGAAAATGGTTTAGAGTCAAATAACTAGTTTTGTACCAGTAGTATTAACAAACGAACTTAGGATCTGACTTTCACAGTGATTCACACTGTGAAAGGGGGGAGATGATGAGACAATTAAAACAACATTTTTAGAATATGCTGACAATAGTTGATAAACTTTTGGGTCATTGTGATATGTGTTTTGTTAGATGAATTGAAGAGAACAATAAAACAGTAGCGGGACACTGTTCCAGTTCCAGAGAGACGTTTTTAGAAATCTATTCACAGACAATGTGGACATGATTAAAACTGCCAAGGGATATGTTACATGTTTGTAATGATGACGGGTTCAGTCGATGGATAGAAGCAACACCATCAAAAGATCTTGGAGTCAAAATAAATCTGTCACTGCATGAATTGGTACATCATTTTGGGGAAGAAAGTTGATCTCTCAAGTAAATATCAGATCAGAGAATTTGCACTAACACTAACTTATAGGAAGATGCTTTGCTACTTGCGCCTATGAGCTTTCACAATCAAAAGCACTGGGATAAATCTTTCACTGCATGGATTGACTAACTTACAAAGCTATGCTTTACTGCGGCTAAATAATTAAGTTTTCGCTTGAGCAGCTGAAAATTAGTGAATTAAATATATGAGGCAGCTAACTACGATGCAAAGATCTATCGATTAGCAGGAGGAGGGCCAAAATCTGATCCCAGTCAAGAGGTGGAGGCCAGTCGAGCCAGAGCACCAGGTGTACATCACCGTCCTTTGAGGAGGGTGGAAAAAAGAACGAGGAGAAGACCTGAACACTTTGGTCCTGGTGAACTCTACTTCAGTGCAGGAAGTGGCACGAACCACGACGGGAAGGACCGTACACGGTGGTGCGAGCAACTCCCACAGCAGTCCAGGTCGAAGGGAGCGGGACGTGGTATCACCTGTCACACTGCACGAAGGTTTCAGGCAAAACCAAGGGCGGTATTGAGTTGAAAAACAAAGATGAAAAAACATGACATTGTGGTGTGTGCTGGTGGTAATGAACTCTCTTCTATGGATGCCTGTAGAAGCAGGGGAGCTAGAGACTCAAAGGGGAAAACAGACACGACAGAGGAGACAGAGCGTCTGAATCAGATGAGTATGATGCAACCACACAGACACCAATCCATGACGTGCTAAACTCTGAGCCAGCACTATCAGCTGAGCTCAAACACATAAACATTCCGTACCAAGTGGTGTATGGACGAACACGGGGTAAAAGAGCTATACACAAAATGTGGCGGTGGCGTGCTAGCATGGACATACCCGATAGCATGCAAAACAGAAGCATAACATACGGGGTAATGGTCATGTCACGAGAGTATGTGCGAACCAAATGTGTGGTGTTCGGTGTAGGCTTCTGTATGGGTCGGGATCTCATCATGGGTATTTAGAAACGTGCGTAGACTGTAAATTTCGCCAGACATGTGAAGAATTCGCCGCCACAACGTCACAAGACGAGCCCCCTACAAACTACAAGGTAGACGAAACAGATAATTACGAGTGTTTCGCCAGTGGAGGGTTTATGAACAACCCAGGGGGAGGAGTCCAGGTGGGAAACACAACTGTTAATTGTAAAATTACGTGGGTATTGTCATGGTTTCCTGAAGCTAGTATGAGCGAACCATTTATAACTAGACCTGTTTGGTTTGAAAATCCAGAGCAAACGTTAGATCAAACATGTGAAAACATAACTATGACCAGACCGAGTATGCATTTTTTCGCAAGTCAAACTGTTGCAGTAGCTGACAGTTACTGGATGTGTGGAGACAACATTGTGCGAAGCACACTTCCACCAAAATGGATTGGACTCTGTACATTAGTGCGAATGAAAGTGTCAGTTGTCGTGTTGTATGACGGCGTCGAGGAGATCCTTAAAATCCAGGGAGAAACAGCCAAATTGAACCGCCACAAAGGGCAGATTGACGAACAGGTGTACATCAATAGTATAGGAGTGCCAATAGGAATTCCAGAGGAGTTTAAAGCTCAGGACGAGATCAGAGCAGGTCTAGAGTCGATTCTGCCCTGGATCACCACTAATAAAAATGTCCAATGGATAAATTACATTTATTACAACCAACAGAGATTTGTTAATGCGACATCTGAAATCCTGAGCGCTCTTGGTAGTCAATTACACGCAGCAAGTATAATGGCCCAACAAAATAGACAGGTTTTGAATTGGCTGACAGCGGATAGGGGAGGAGTATGTCACATGTTCGGGAAACATTGTTGTACCTTTATTCCAAATAACACAGCCCCTGATGGTATATTTTCTGTGGCAATGGGGAAGCTTACAGAACTCAGAGTTGAGCTAAGGGAGAGTGCGGGCAAGGGGGGACTGTCATGGGATTGGTTTGACCAAATTTTAGGAAAATGGGGAGCCGTTTGGGCTAAGATAGGACTCAGTGCACTAGCAGTCCTAATTGTAATTTCCTTTTTGATATGTTGCATCATCCCCATCCTGAGGAGGCAGTGTCTGCGGGCTCTGGAAAAACAGATGACTGTGGTGACTGGTCTCCAAAGAGCTCAAATGTTGAACTTGCTGACGCCGTCCCAAATGGCACAACTCTGCTTGGACGACAGCAGGGCAGGAAACGGGGACTATCCGGACTTATACCCAAACCCTGCCTGTGTGGGTGACTCTGATGAGGACGAACAGAGTCAAGTGTAAGGTAAACAAGAAGCAGAGGTGCAGCAGCAGCGAGCAAGCAAAAGGAAAAGCAAATGGGACGGCGGAGCAAATGGACTATCACATCAATACACACATATTCTGTTGTTATCCATGTGTATTCTGCATACTCACATCATTTACACATACTCATTCCAGGTAAATGGAAACAGGTAAAGGAAATGGTTAATCATTTTTTGAGCAAGATAAAACATGTGGTTGATTGTCATGTAGAGTGGGTCAGTAAAAAAGCTGTTAGATTTAGAAGGTTCACGGTGGAGGTCGCCAGCGGGAGGGGCCGCAGGGGAATTTCCTGCTCAAAGCAGCCAGCAGGTTTTCGCCCCTGCCAGATGTGAACCAAGTCACAAGTGGTTTAAGTGTTGTGTTTATGAAAATGTAACATTCGTGATAACAAGCATGAGTTGGATTGGTTTGAGAACGTACATATGCATCTGTAATCAATCTAGTAGTATCATATCACATAACGTCATAACTCATTCATGTAACGTAACTAAGGCTAAGACAAGATAAGTGTGAATCTCCAACGATGTCATTGAACTCGTTTAATCTTGAAAAGATTCAAAGGGGGGATATGTGGGGGAAAATAACAGATGTGGTTGGATGTTTTGGAGGTTGCTATGAGGCAAGAAAACAGGACTGCAACACAGTCATGGTGAACTGTGTTGCAATGACATAAACTTTATCAGGGTGGGATAAACTGTGTTGCGATAACATAAACTCTATCAGGTTAGGATAAACTGTGTTGCAATAACATAAACTTTATCGGGTCATGGTGAACTGTGGTGCAATAACAGGAATTTGGTTTCAAGAGGTAGTGGCGAGGGAGAAGTCACGTAGGGAGCTCTCCCACGGGAAAGTGATACACACACGAAGGTAGCTTCGCACACACATTTGGCAAAAGTTGGGATCAGTGACGTCAATGGAGTACTATAAGAGATCTGTGGTTTTCTGTTCTGGGTTCTGTCTGCTCGATTGTTCTGTATGCTGTGACCAGAATAAAATCCCGCGAGAGGCTGCCAGCTTGATTCTGTCTTCGTGTAGTTCATTCCTGCATTTTTGCACCGAGGTCATCTTCTAAACAAAACACCAGCTACTGGTAGACAGAACAGTCGCTCGAGACTGCAGAACCAGACAGACCCATTTGTGCACTGCCTGGATTGATTACAAGAAAGCCTATGACTCGATGCCACACACCTGGATCCTGGAATGCCTGAAGCTGTACAAGGTCAACAAGACTCTAAGAGCCTTCATTACAAACTCAATAAGGCAATGGAACACCACCCTTGAGGCCAATTTCAAGCCAATAGCACAAGTCTCCATCAAATGTGGCATATATCAAGAAGATGCTCTGTCCCCACTGCTGTTCTGCATAGGCTTCAATCCCGTCAGCCAAATAACCAGCAAGACTGGCTACGGATATCAACTCTGAAATGGGATCACCATCAGCTACCTCCTCTACATGGACGACATCAAGCTGTACGCTAAGAGCGAGCAAGACTTCAACTCACTGATCCACACCACCAGGATCTACAGCAGTACCATCGGAATGTCGTTCGGACTGGAGCAGTGTGGCTGAATGGTGAGGTATATGTTGCCATCCCAAGCGATACCAACATCAGGAAGAAGGAGCACAAGAAACTAGAGAAGTACCAAGGGCTCAAAGAGGAGCTAGAGAAAGCCTGGAAGGTGAAGGCAACAGTGGTGCCAGTGGGCACTCAGGGCAGTAACCCCACACTGGAGAAGTGGCTCGAACAGGTCCCTGTGGAAATATCAGACATCTCACTCCAGAAGAGTGCAGTCCAAGGAACAGCTAAGATACTGCAAAGGACCCTCAAGCTCCCAGGCCTCTGGTCGAGAACCCGAGCTTGAAGAGACACGATACCGCCCAGGGTGGGGGAGGGATATATATGTTCCAGGTCAGGGCATTTCTGGGTTGAGTTTCCATGTTCTTCCTGTGTCTGCGTGGGTTTACTCCAGGTTCTCCGGTTTCCTCCAAAAAAACATGCAGAAGTGGGGTTAGTTTATTGGTTACTTATAAATTGCCTGTAGGTGTGAATGTGAGAATGGATGGTTGTTTGTCTCTATATGTCAGCCCTGTGATGAACTGGTGACTTGTCCAGGGTGTCCCTTTCCTTCACCCCGAGATGCTGGGATAGGCTCCAGCCACCTCACAACCCCCAAGGGGAATAGTGGTCGAAAATGGATGGATGGATGAATTATGTAGTTAAGGAAATGTCAGTGATTAAGGATAAGGGATGTAAGTCTAGGAGGCTTGACTGACAGATATAAAGTGAAGCTGGAATGAAATGAACATGAACTTGATCAATTTTTGACCACAACTTTCATTCATAGTTTAAACAATAAGAACTACGAAGTGAACAGGTTCATTTTTGATCATTTAAGGCTAAACTTGGAGCTAACTTCCACTTTTAGCATGAACTTCAACAAGACAGTTTATAATCCAACAAGTTGTAGCCTCTTTCACTATAACACTGCTGGCATTGCATTAAGACACTTAATACAGGGTTTGTTATTTTCTCTCTGTATCTGCAAATTTAAAAAGAGGAGATGGTGTCCTCCCAGTTAGCAGCAGTGTAATAGAAAGACAGCAACATATAAGAATATCTAGACCAACCTTAGATTTCAGTAGGAACTATATCTTATAAAAGGAACAAAGAATACTGTTAGGACTTTATTGTGAACTAGACTAATGAGAGACCATGAATATGGAAGCACCACCAACCACAACACCAGAGGCACTATTTTTGTTTGTCATAAAAATAATTTTTTTTCGTCTTTAAAATCATCTGCTTTATGTCTTTGGTTCATTGCCTTGTAACAAGCAAGGCTAAAAATAGTTAGCAGGTGCGGTGTGGAGCCCTCATATGATGGAATGGAACCTCACAATCCTCTTTTTCTTCTTCTAGTAAATTCTAACCCCACAAATGTGGCACAATATAAAGACGCATCTGTGGTTAACTGAATTTCATCTTCAGTAAAATAACATCCAAACCATCTGGAGCTTTGACTCTCATTGTTTATTCACACCTTAGTGTGCAGATGCGCTTCAGACTAAATACATACAGTGTGTTTGAGTGTTAGTGTGACTCTGAGTGTTTGGCCTTAATTTAACACCACAGCCACATGCCTTCAGAGTGACATTTTTTTTCGTTTGTTAGATGCTTCAAATTTAAATTATATTCTATGAATGGATCCATTTACACATTAAGTCTATAACTGCGCACATTACAGCCCATAACTAGAAAAGCACTTGGAGAGCGCAGACCTCCGCCAAGCAGCTCATGTCCCCCCTTATATTGTGATTCACACCAAAACTTTTACTGTTACGTGTCTTTTATTTACGTTTATTTGTGTTTAAACTGGTATTTCACTGTTCATAATGTTCCTAAAACAAGAAATGCCCTGACCCGCATTCAAACCCAGGACCTTCTGGCTGTGAGGCGACAGTGGAAACCAGTACACCACTATGCCACCCATCTACACTACTGTGCCGCCCATTGGTTATCTTTCAGCATTGAAAATTCCAATGACACCCTTATTTTTGTGTGTTCTGGATCACAGTATCCAGAATTTTGTCTGGATCAGGATCAACCTTTGACATCTCATAAAACTCTTCAAGATCCTTTTGTGTAATTTTTTACTAAAGACTCTGGCCATTTTTATAGAGTTAAATGCAAAAATTCAAAAATTTGCCCTATCTCACAATGATAAAGAATCCTTCAAAAAATTCCTGGATCCAGAAGGCAATCCGGATCACCACCAAAATTTAATGGGATTCTCCTGGGGCTGAGACGCACCTCTGGTGAAAATTTCAGGTCAATCCGTCTGTAACTTTCTCCGTAAAGTTGCTAACAGACAAACAAACAAACCAACGCTACTGAAAACATAACCTCCTTGTCGGAGGTAACAAACAAAACAACGCTACCAAAAATATAACCTCCTTGGCGGAGGTAATAACTGTGTGGAATTGTACTCATGAAATGTGTCACTGCTCAGCAAATAACTTCATTTTGAAATACCAACACTGGAGTCTCAACTTTCTGTCCAGTTCTTCTGCAGCTTGCTTGAGAGTGGCGGTGAAGAGGCCACAGAGTGGAGTAAAGGGAGAGAGAAAAGAGTGAGAGAGCCCTCCCCCACAGTTTCAAAACATCCTGGAGGAAACCCTGAAGAATTTTCAGAAATTTAATTCAAAAAGTGAAATTTTCATGTAATCTTGACTTGGGAAATCTAATTCAATAAAAAAAGCTAGGTATTGCATAAACAGAGAGTTATATTTACATAAACATACAATGTATCAATAAAAAAATAATATATATAAAAAAATTCACTCTATTGAAATTTTAAGCACACATCAATTAAAGCCTTTATCAAACACAATATTTTAAAAAGGAGCTCATGTACATTTGATTGAATTATTACCATAATCTGACATTTCACAGTATTAACTATCAGGCTTTTGTAAATCACATTGTTTTACCTGGAGATACCTGGGCTTAACAATAACAAAGAACGCATAAATAAAGCTAGTCAATAAAGTAAGTGAAAAACTGTTTGACAACTCAAAAATACATTCAGACTGCTTACATTTGTATTAATATGAATAATTTAGATTAAGCAATCATGACTCTGTTTTTTTATTCATACTGAGCTGCTCTGTGTTGTATTAAATATTCATGTGTCTCTCCTTATTTATATACCCTCTCAGTTCCATACGTTATTTTTGCATGCTGTTTTATAAAAAAAAGGGAGTTATTTCACACTTTTTTTTCCTTTTTTGTAAATATACTATGTCTATAAATTATAGCTTACCGTACACTCACGCACAAACAGAGGTTGAAAGGCAAAATAATCCGTGATCCTGCACTTAAGCCAAAAATGAGCACTTTAGCTTTTCCAGAGGCTTCAGCCATTTTTCAACCTCAACTGTAGCTGACAAGTTTTCAGGCTGGTCAACAAGGCAAAATGCCGAAGTTTTACTCCTGTATTGGGAAGATGGCGGACCATGCTGAGTAGTAGACATGCTTGTTGGGAGCTCCACCATTACATTACTCATAAACCTCACCCATAAGTCTTAATTAAGCCATCAACGGTTAGAGAATGAGCCTTAGGAATATGGGCAAAAATCCCCAAAAAGCCCATATGAAGAAGATCTCGTTGAAAAAGGTGCCAACGCAGAAATGGCTGAACAGGCAGATGCTACCGCGGCTAGTGCCACTGCTGTTAACATTGACATTCCAGCTTCAAACGAAAATATTCTAGCAGCAATACAGCAAATGAAAAGCATCGTTGACAATGGATTCGATGAGCTCAAAGGGTCTCTTTCCAGCCTTCAATCTGCTTTATCAGCCGTCAGTGAATGTGTATCGACAGCTGAGGACACCATTCAAACACATGAAAAACACCTTGACGTGCTGGAGCGGCAACATGAGAGCCTAGCTTCCCTGTGCATGGTACAGCAAGCTAAATTAGACGACCTAGAGGCCTGTTCTCGCAGGCAAAACATCCGAGAACGGCAGGCCAACTGTGTTCGTTGCCAAGTTACTACCAGAGCTACTGGGAGAAGAGCACTTTGATCACCCCGTGGATATGGATTGGGCTTATCAATCCACTGCGCCAGCTAAAGATGGAAAACCGAGAGCTATCATCGCCAGGCTGCACCGCTTCCAGGTAAAGGAGCTTATACTGTGGATCGCGAGGGAGAAGGCACCGCTGCAGTACAACGGGCATCTTGTATACATCTTCCCTGAATTAACGTCAGCAACCATGAAGTGGATGGTCTTTCCAAAATATCAAGGAGAAGTGCAGAGCCAGAAAAATACGGTGTGGCTTCAAGCATCTGGCAAGGTTTGTGGTCACAGTTAACGACAGCACAGGCCCCTTCAGCACCCCGGCCAAAGCTGAAAAATCCCTGAGTCGGGAGGCTCAGGACTGGGAC